AGGCAAACATGTCTCAGGCAGGAGCTTCACAGGTGGGGTGCCACCACAGAAGGAGTCCTGCCTCTGATCAATGACCACCCAACTATTGAAAACCAATAGGATCAGGGCCTCAGATGATGATCTCAGTGGGTCAGCAGGTTCGTACAGCAGAAGGAGGTCCTTTAGATAGGAGTTTACTGGTCCTGCCTTGAGCAGGTGCTGAATCTGTTAAATATGACATGCAGCTGAAGGGTAGGACAACCTTAAAATTCAACTTCAACCTGTTTTTTGCTCCGCATGCTAACTTCCTCTCAAGCAGCACAATGAAACATATTAATTAGCAAGAAAAACTGGCTTTCTCTTTCATGCGAAGCTGTACCACAAGATACTGGCCGTGTCTGTGTTTTTAATTAAACAGAAAATGTAATTATCTTGACAGCATGGCTTCTCCTCCGCCCCCGCCGGTTCCATTTGGTTAAAAAGAAAAAAATGAAGGATAAAAAAGAGGAAGGATCTATTAGAATGGGGCAGCTTTGTGTTTTTCGTTAGGGATGAGCTAAACTGTTTCTGCAGAGGAAGAAGAAAAGAGAAGTCACTCTCACTGAGCCCAAGAAGAAAATAGCTCCCAGATGCCTGAAAGGAGTTTGCCCTCTTCCCAACACCGCTGAAGACTGCAGATCTGGTGTGGTTTGGGAGAACTTTCGGCTTCTCATATCCTCTTTGCTCCTTGTGGGTTTGGCGACGGTCATGCTGTTCATTCTTTCATCCTAGTTGCCTTCATTTTATCTCAGATCACACAAGAAAGCAGGCAGGAAAATGACAGGGGTGAAGTCATCATCCCCAGCAAGTTAAGGGCTGCCAGAGCCAAACCGTGGAGCATCCACTTTGCGGTTCCGCATTCCGATTTCCACTGTTGAGATCTCTCTAAATAAAAGTCTGGGGTGATGGGTGGATAGGTGGGAGTAAGTCTGCGCAGGCACTGGCCACATCTGCACCTTACTTTTCAAGCACTCTTTCACCCATTTCACCCACAAAGAATCAAGGGAACTGAAAGTAACTGTGTGTATAAGACTGACTATCAGGTGTCACTATTAATGGTCAAAAACATATAATTAATATTTTTGCCAGTGATGTAACTCTCATGACTTCCAATCCAGCTAAGTCTGTACCTGTAATTATGTCAGAAATTGCAGGCTCTGGTCAGGCATCGGGATTTGCTGTAAATTATAGCAAGACGGAATTACTCTGCATTCACACTCCTCCCAACATGTTACTAAACCTACGAAAAGTATCTGGACTCAAAATTTGTACTTTGCATTTTCAGTATCTTGGTATTTTAATTCCCAAAGACATTTCTATACAGTGGTACCTCGGGCTAAGAACTTAATTCATTCTGGAGGTCTGTTCTTAATCTGAAACTGTTCTTAACCTGAGGTACCACTTTAGCTAATGGGGCCTCCTGCTGCTGCCATGCCGCTGCCGCGCGATTTCTGTTCTCATCCTGAAGCAAAGTTCTTAACCTGAGGTACTATTTCTGGGTTAGCAGAGTCTGTAACCTGAAGCGTCTGTAACCTGAAGCGTCTGTAACCTGAAGCGTCTGGTACCACTGTATTGGAAAAGCTAGATTATTCACCTGTTATTTCTGAGTTCACATCTAAGATACGTAACCAGAAAAGACAACATTGCCATGATGTATGGCAGCAGTTAAGATGACGTTATTACCTAAAATATTTTTTCTCATTCAAAACATTCCATGACAGACTAATGATAATACTTTAAATGGCCCAAATTCCTTGTTTCGTTTATACGTCAAGGCAAATGATCAAGACTTAGACACAGTGTGTTATATACACCTGCAGACAAAGGTGGTCTTGGTATTCCTTTCCTGGGCATTCCTATACACAGTTGCTTCAGATTGGCTTCTCTCTCCGAGCCCAGAGAGGTCTGAAGTTGTCAAAGCCCTACAACTTCAGGATTCAGTTTCTTTACAGTTTTGTCTCCAACAATCCTTCTCCACAAAGAATGCTGTAATTGGAGCTTCTGATAGAGGCCAGCACTATGTGTTAGTCTGCACAGCAACAGAGATAAGACAGTCATGAGTATTCTGCAGCTGCACCCTGCGAGGGGAAAGTTTTATATCAACTTAAGGAGAATTAACAGCACTCATATATTCAGTTGGAAGCCGGCCAGAGTGGCTGGGGAAACCCAGCCAAATGGGTGGGGTATAAATAATAAATTATTATTATTATTATTATTATTATTATTATTATTATTATGACAGCGCCACATGTCTCTCCTAGATATGATCACCTGTCTGCTTCTGCAGATCAAACTGCCATTAAAGGAGAGTGTAAGAAGAGGCTGCTGGATCAGGCCAAAGGCTCATCAAGTTCAGCATCCTGTTCCCACAGCGGCCAACCAGATGGTTATGGGAAACTGGCAAGCAGGAGCCTTCCTGGTGGTGCCAGCCTACAGCTCCCATCATCCCTGACTATTGACTGTGCTTGCTGGGGCTGATGGGAGATGGAGTCCAACAGCATTTGGAGGGCGCACAGGCCCCTCTGTTCTGCTTTGAAAGGTTTCCTTCAGCAGCTCTTCTTCAGCTCTATTCAATCCATTTGATGCTCCCTTGGAAGCAAGTTAAATACAGGAGGAGTGGTTGCTACTGAATGGTTAAGTGGCACCCTCTGCTGGACTGCACATTCCTGCTTTGCACTGCAGGCAAAAAGTTAGGGTTGACAAGTAGGGCTTGCAACAAAATGTTGCAGTGTAGCCTCACCCCCCACAACAGTAGTGCTCCTGTTCAGGGTTCCATATAGCTAGCCAACCAACCAACCAACCAACCATGCTGTCGTCCAGGACAATATAAATGGTAAAGAATTCAAGCAGGCCAGTTCACTGCCTCTATTTTCCGCCCCAAACAAACAACACCTGTGAGGGCCCCAGGTTCCTCAACCTAGCTATAAGTAATAAAGCAATTCAAAAAGAGCACTTCCAGATGCTCCTTCCATGACTGCTAAACATGCCCATTCCTCCTCAACAAGTTATTTAGAGAAGGGGTTGTCCCTTGGCTCCCCCCTCCAATATAGTTGTTGTTGTTGTTTAGTCGTGTCCGACTCTTCGTGACCCCATGGACCAGAGCACGCCAGGCACTTCTGTCTTCCACTGCCTCCCGCAGTTTGGTCAGACTCATGTTTGTAGCTTCAAAGACACTATCCAACCATCTCGTCCTCTGTCGTCCCCTTCTCCTTATGCCCTCCATCTTTCCCAACATCAGGGTCTTTTCCAGGGAGTCTTCTCTTCTCATGAGGTGGCCAAAGTATTGGAGCCTCAGCTTCACGATCTGTCCTTCCAGTGAGCACTCAGGGCTGATTTCCTTCAGAATGGATAGGTTTGATCTTCTTGCAGTCCATGGGACTCTCAAGAGTCTCCTCCAGCACCAATATAGTATGACCTCCTTATTAGCAATAACCCTTAAATAACACAGACTGAGTCCAGAGAAAAAAATAAATCTGATAACACCTTATTAAGGAAACTGAACAAAAGCGGTATATAATTTGAGGAGATAGAAACAGAGGTTTTGTCTTTCTCGGTTTGGCAGGAAGACATTCAACCAAACATACAGAGGAAAACTCCCTCAGAAGTACACAGCCAGTCAGAGCATGTGCTACCTCAGTGCGGTTCATGTCTGGTTGCTAAGCAGCATCCCATCCCTCTCTTGGCTAGTCGGCTTTAGCATTAACAGAATTCACCCTTATGTTAGAGACTGAATGAGCCAAACTGTTGCATGTCCAATACATGTACCTACTGATACCTCCTCCTTGATTCTCAGTGGCCCCATTTTGGCAACAATCCTGTTGGCACTCATGGCCTGAGTTTGCTGTTAGAGGTAGCGACAAGGATGGTGACGAGAGGAAAACACAGACAAGGGAAAAACCATATAATGATAATAATACATGATTGTGAAAATCTCTTCATCAGATTTATGGAAAATCCAACTAGCACATTCCCCTGACACTAAGAACACTTAAAAAAACAATCACAAACCACAGATCTGTACATTTTCCAGTGAGCAATACACACTTAGCTCCCCTATCCTATAATTGTCAGAATAGTAAAATAACACATTAAAAAGCATTAGAGCGTGAAAGTTGATATCCTGCAGGCCAAATAAGTGCAGCTGCAGGATGTGCTCCAATGTTTGACACTTAGGCTGCAAGATTAATGTATCTGTGCTCCCCAGCTGCACCCCTGCATTCTGGCAGTGCATGCTGTGCAGATTAAGTGCAGGCAGTAACTCAACAGGTGAAACTTTCCATTATCATGCTGATTTACCTATCTGCTGGAGAAAAGAATTCACTTTGCTTTAAATTCTCACAGGAAATCTGCACTTATCTGACTTTTACCAGAGTTATCCTACCCTATAAAATGTGCATGAAAAATGCAGATATTGGCAAAAAAATTTAAGCCTTTTTATTAGAGAAAATTGCTTGAAATAATTGGCATACTAGACAAAATTCCACGAGGAGAGATATGCACCAAAATGCCTTTAAACACTGGCTGAAAACTTTTCATGGTCAGAGTAAACAAAGAAAACACATTTCCATAATAGTGAGTTGAGGGTTTATGTTTCTTTCTTTTTTTACACAATTTTTATTGCTATGTAGATTTTGTTGTAAACTGCTTTGATTTTTTTTTATGACATAGCGGTACATAAAAAGCTAAATAACAATAAAAGCTTGATAAATTCCCACGAGCATTTTACAAAAAACCCTCAATTGGATGTGGAGAGCTGAACTGAAGACTGAAGGAATGTCAGCTTGTAAGCATGTGCGGGCAGAGACTATCTAGTTTTAACTGATTGTACTGTATGCCAGCCACTCTGGCAGCCTATGGCTGAAGCGGGGTGCAAACGCTTCGAATAAGTAAACAAACAAACAAACAAACAAACAAACAAACAAGAAAACACAAATCGACAGATCTGACCCCGAGTTCAGCGTAATACTGTTGAGAAAGAGTCCCCCTTCCTACTGTCTTTCGCAAAAACTGTGACGAGCCTGCGCCCAAGGACGCCAGAAAAACAAACCAAGCGCTGTGTCGCAAGGCGCGCGTGACGGAGAGGAGGGCAGGCGTAAGAGGATCCTGAAACGTGACAGATCCCCCTTCGGAAGAAATCGCCCTTCCTGGACAAATCATAGAATGGTAGAGTGGAAGGGGACCGGGAGGGTCATCTAGTCCAACCCCATTTCGCCCAACGTGGGGTTTGAACCCAGAACCCTGAGCTGAAGAAGAGTCTCATGCTCTACCGACTGAGCGCAACAAAGCAGGCTTGGGAAGCGTGAAGGGGCAAGGGATCCTTCAGCTTTCTCGACTTCTGCGCCTTAAGCCGTTTCTCTCCCAACTTTAGAAGCAAAACAATACAGAGCCCAACTCGGGTCCCGCCTCCCGGTCTCCCGTCTCCTCCCACCGCGCCTCGGAGGCAAAGGGCGCGCCATGCCGGCCAATGCGCAAGCCGAGCGTCAGATTCGCCTCTCGAGGCGCAGCAGGAACCGAAGGAGGAAATGAAACTGCCCGCTGGCGTCTTTCTCAAATAAGGGGCGCCCGCGGATCCGTCTTTTTCGGCTCACGCTGAGAGCGAAGCAGCAGGAGAGCATGGGGGTCAGCCAGTCCCTGGGGTTGCCTCGTGGGAAGGGAGCCTTCCCGGTGGGCTGCACGGATGTCATGGTGGGGCAGACGCCAAAGGTACAGTGACTTGCTGGGGCGGGGATGGGGGCAGAAGTGAGGCTGGCCCAGCCTGTCAGCTTGGAGGGTCCGCCGACCTGCGTCTTGTGGCATTTTTTTTCTGTTCTCCCTACTTGAAAGTAGCTGGGGGTCTTGGCGGGCCACATAATGTATCCGTCCCCCTGCCTGTGGTAGTCATTGTAATGCGCTGTGCTAGCTTGCTGTGTGATTTTTTTATTGCTTTGCTGCATTCCTTACATTGTATTTTATTGCGTTACAAGTTGAGTACAGACTCTGTAGGATTCTGATCGCCAGTGTCCTTCACAGGCGCGAAGCTCAGGGGCGGCTGGTGGTTTACAGACCACAGCTTGGGAACCCCCAGTTATGTCACACCAATTATTTCCCATTCCTTCCCCCTTCAAAAAAAAGGCTGGTTGGAGAGAGAGCATATTCTAACACAGCAGTTGTATGAATTGGGCAATTAGTGGTTTTGTATCTTGCCTTTATTATTTTTATTCGTTTATTAGATTGTTGTTTTTCTCACCCTCCACCATGACGTCCCCATGGCAGGTTACAATTCTTAATTAAAAATATTTTTAAATCAGTTCAAACAATTTTCAGGGCAGAGAAAATAGGGTGGGTTCTTTAAAAATGTGTATATCACATTTCTAGCCCACCTTTTCTCTGAGGAACTAAAGGTGGCATTCCCCACAAAAACCCTGTGAGGTAGGTTAGGCCAAGAGGCAGTGACAGGCCCAAGGTCACCTATTGAGCTTCATAGCTTAGTATGGATGACCACATAATAAAGGTGGCAGCCTTGCCTCTGTGGGGAGGGGGATTCCACAACTTAGGGGCTGCCCCAGGGAAGGTAGTTTCCCGGACACCCCGGCTACCCTTTGCACTTCAGGTGGTGGTGAAACTATCCAGAGGGTGCCCTCTGCTGGTATCGTTGGTCTCTCTGGTGTTTTGTTTTGGTGACTCACTGTCACCAGGAAAGACAGCTAAGGTTCTTTCGGGTGGGGGGGAGACAGGGTTGGGCACAGAGGGAAAATGAATAATCTGGATGTCATCTAACAAGGTGACCAACTTGCAGGAAACAAACGCAGCCTGATCTACTCCTGTGCCTTCAACATATTATTTTATTAATTGAACATATGACAAGGAGAGCATTCCTGATCTATGCCTTCCGAAGTAAGAGGGTATAGCTCTGGCATGCTCTCTTGTGTAGCAGGGGGTGGGGAATCGCAGATCCAGGGGTGCAGATGCAGCCCTCCCAGCCTCTTGGTTTGACCCTTGGCATTCTCCACAAGCCACACCCCCTCACTGGCCTTGCGTCACTCCCTGCGGTGACAGGAAAGTGTCCTCTGAACCCTGATACTGTAGTGCCTCTTGCTTACTTAGATAAAGGAGAGGAAGAGATTTGTATGTTGAAACAAGCCTACTGTTCTGTGCAAAATATCCATATGCCTGGCACATTTTTACCTCTGGAGTCATCCTCCACTGTCATGTGGCCCCCAGAGGGCTGCCTAGGATGGAATGTGGCCCTCAAGCTGAGAAGGTTTCCTCCCCCTTTTGTACTGACTGAATTACATTAGGGCATAGGATGGGAACTGGGAGGCTGTGCCCAAAGCTTCACAGAAAAGGTGGGATTAGGAGAACAGGCTTTTTAATTTTCAAAATTAACTTTTTAAAACAAAACAAAATGTATGTGGTTACAGATAGCTAGATTTCCCCTTGTCCTAGGCACCCCCAACCCATGAAGGCACACATCTGATAGTTATTTTTTGTTGACAATAGCGCCCTGACACCCCTCCCATGCTTTCCGCAATACAAATGTTAATGCTACCTACAAATATGAATTAAATAAAAAATAATCATAAGATGGTTATCTGTTGCTTCGCAGAAACGTTAATAAATTTTAACTTGTTATACTCATCAAATGTATCCAGACTCTGAAGAGAAGTAGCTGAGATTATTGGTCCCATATAAATGCAAACAATACCAGTATTCTGTTGGGCTCTTCTGATTTTGCTATACTGTATAATCAATGAAGTCAGGCCAAATTTGTTTTTTTTCAATTTGTCCCCTAAATAATCACACTTTAGTCATCAACTTCTCTGAAACTTGCCAAAAACATACCTTTTTATACCACGCCTCTATAGAAAGGCCCTCCACATATTTCCAGTATCTAGAGATGAATAGATCTGCAGCCAGCAAAACAAATCCAAGTACAGTTTTAACTTTTCCCATCTTTGTTCTGGTTGCCCCCAGATACTTCCCAGTGCCAGTGAGGGCTCTGGTAACAAGTCCTGTGCTGTAACTTGGATTAATTTCAGTAAGCGCAAAGGAGACAACCGTACCTCATTCCTACAGACTTTAATGAAGAAAAAGGTGGTGGTGGGAGAAAGTGTGGAGTCCTCCTTCTCCAGGCAGGCACTTGAGTTTACGCTACAATCTCTTTTCTCTTCCTCAGGGCCTCTTCTTCCGCTTATTTTACCCCTGCATCCAGCAGGATGGGGCAGAACAGCCCTTTTGGATCCCTCGCTATGAGTACTACTATGGAATCTCCGACTACTTGAACATGAACAGGAAATGGTGTGCCCCACTGCTTAGCGTGACTTTCGGTAAGGGGTTTGCTGGCTGCCAGCATCTAGGTGCAGTACAGTGGTACCTCGCAAGACGAATGCCTCGCAAGACGAAAAACTCGCTAGACGAAAGGGTTTTTTGTTTTTTGAGCTGCTTCGCAAGACGATTTTCGCTATGGGCTTGCTTCGCAAGACGAAAACGTCTTGCAAGTTTGTTTCCTTTTTCTTAACACCGTTAATACAGTTGCGACTTGACTCATAGAACGCGGTGTGGTAGCCTTTTTTGAGGTTTTTAAAGACTTTGGTGATTTTTGAAGCTTTTCCAAAACTTTCCTGACACCGTGCTTCGCAAGACGAAAAAAATCGCAAGACGACAAAACTCGCGGAACGAATTAATTTCGTCTTGCGAGGCACCACTGTAGTGCTGCTTTTGTGCCCTTCTTCTACCTGTAACCCTTAAGATCTTGACATTTGCTCAGACCAGCGGTACCATCAGGGCAGGACTTTGGGGCAGAAGCTTGCTGCTCAGCAGAATGAACTGGAATTCCCCCACCTCCCAAATGCAACAGTTGCTGGCTTGCAACAATTTGAAGTAACATCACATCTGCACCATATGTTTAAAGCACTTAGAATCCTGGGAGCTTTAGTTTGCTATGGGTGCCAGGAATTGTAGGGGGTAAACTACAGTTCCCATGATTTTGGGGGGAAGGAGTCATGTGCTTTAAATATATAGTGCAGTAAAAGCATCTGTTGGAAGAGAGGCATAAGATCAGTCAATCCAGTGTCTTAAATTTACTTAACTTGTGCCACCAGTACAAGCAAGAACTACGCCCAGTAGATGCTGCTAACCTGCGATGTGCACCTTGCAGGGAATGCGAAAGGGTTGTGCCTTTTGTATCTGAAACAATTCTGAACTTCAAGAAACCACTAAGAAAAAATGAGAGAGTGAAAGGTTTTCTTGGGTAGCGTAGCATAATTGAGATAGTGAAGCACTGACCACTTGCTGCATAACAAGGCCTTGGAACATTCATATGTGACCATTGATTTCCACAGGTTCGTGCAAGATCCCTGTGAGCTGGGATGCTCCTTTTAAACCATGTTCCCACAAGTATCCGTTGATCATATTCTCCCACGGATTAGGAGCCTTTCGGTAAGTTTTTTCTGCTTACATTTCCTTCATCTTTTCAAGACCTCATGTGGACTGATAAAATGGACAGTGCAAATGATAAAGTGAACGATGATACGTGGCTTGTCTGGTACAGTATACGTAAATCCACCACTAATGCAGTGTTGTATTGCATCAATGACATGTTGCGAGATACACCTCCAGAAAAACACACCCAAGTCTAGAAGGGCCTTTAGGCCGGAACGGCTGCTACTGGGTGACTGTAGAGGGGGGGAGGCCCAATGGAGCTGGCCTTTCAGCAAAGGACAGTAATGCTGGGAAAAACAATGGATTATGACCAAGAGGTCACTGCATTAGCCTGTTGCAATATACAGTGGTACCTCGGGTTACAGACACTTCAGGTTACAGACTCTGCTAACCCAGAAATAGTACCTTGGGTTAAGAATTTTGCTTCAGGATGAGAACAGAAATCATGCGCTGGCAGCAGCGGGAGGCCCCATTAGCTAAAGTGGTACCTCAGGTTAAGAACAGACCTCTGAAACGAATTAAGTTCTTAACCCGAAGTACCACTGTACCTGGCATTTCTTTGGCACTTCAGAGTATCCAACGTGCGTCACAATCTTTAGCATTCCTGGAGTTCTTAAAACAGGCAGTGTTCCTTGTCTGAGTGGCATTTTTGGGCACAATCATCTGGAACAAGAGCAGTCCTCTAGCTGCTTATGGGGCACTAAAACTGCCAACAGGTTTGGATCTATTTCAAGAGGGATTGGAAAGATGCCTTAGATGTGAAAAACCCGCTCTCTGCCGTCCAGTCTTCCCACAAATCCTTGTGAGCTCATTAGAAAGCACCAAGGGATAAATATCGACTAGAACGGCTTAGTTCACATGAGCCCAGACACATCTTGCATTAGACTTTGAGTGAATGGTTGTTGCTTTTTAAAGCGCTTTTAGTGTTAGCTGTGATCTTGTGTTTAATTCCCCTCCCAAACTGACAGCCCGTTTACACTACCATTGTAAACAGGATTTCTATGTAGGAAGCTGCAAGGAACCATAGAAGTCGTGTTTTTCTTTGGAGGGAGGCTGAGCAACAGCGAGGCTACTACAGTCAGTTTCATACCATACACTGCGATACCATTTTAAACATTCATGACTTTTCCCAAAGAATTCTGGGAGTTGTAGTTTGTTAAAGGTTCTGGGGGTTGGTAGGAGACATCTATTCCCCTCACAGAGCTACAATTCCCAAAGGTCCCTGGGGAAAAGGATTGATTTTGTTAAACCACACTGTGAATTGTACCTCTATGAGGGGAATAGGAGTATCCTAACACCTTTAACCCCCCCCCCCAACAAACTACACTTCCCAGGATTATTTTATGGGCGCTATGACTGTTTAAAGTGGTGTCATCAGGCTTTAAATGTACAGTGTAAAGGTGGTCTGAAGGAGCATGGAGGGGAGGGGTGCCAGGTTTTAGTGTTCTGCACTCAGGGCTGCATGCGAATCAATATTTTGTAGAATATACTCCTCTGAAGGTGTGATTTCAGGTGACCCAAAGCTTACTGAGGGGTGTAGAATGCCAATTTCTGATCTGGGTCATCATCACACCTTTGAATGTTTTCCAGCAGAGCAGTTATGTTCAGAGAAATGTACTGTATTGTGCATCTTGAAGAATGTCATCTCTGTCTCCTGGACAGAGATAGATAGCATACAGGTAGATTAATTTTTATTTTGAGGTTCAGGAGCAGACACACTTTGGTTCAGGACTGGCTGATCTATAGCCCAGGCGTTGGGACCTTTGGTCCTCTGGATGCTGCTAAACTACAATGCCCATCATCCCTTGCCATTGGCCACGCTTGCTGGGTCTGGGAGGAGTTGTCGTTCAACAACAACTGAAGGATCAAAAGTTCCCACACACTTCCTGTGGCATTCTAGATGTTGCTGAACGAAACAAAACAAAAATCCAGAGGAACTACAGGGGTTTTCCACTATTTGTAACGTTATCTTCACTGTTTCAATTTCCAGAACTGTGTACTCTGCCATCTGTGTTGAAATGGCTTCCCGTGGTTTTGTGGTGATGGCGCTTGAGCACAGGTGAGAGGTGGAATCCCTTTAGAACAGGAAGACATCCCATTGTTTGTGTGCTTTGGTATGACTCTGATATGCTGCAGTTGCCCACCTCACTCACGTGTGCATTTGCTGGATTCATCCACGGTTTGTAAGCATCTGTTCCCACAATTCCAGCAGTATGAAAGGGAAATTGGTATCTAAAAGAGCAAAAGGAGAGTGTGTGAAATAATCCTGTGGGACTAAAATACATTCCTACAATCTTGGTTCCAACTGGGACTCTGGAAAATTTGAGGTGCTGAACTGGACCCGTCTTCTTTGCCTGACTGCCTGTACTTGGTTTGTTTTTCCCCAGAGACCATTCTGCCTCTGCCACTTACTTTTGCAAGTTGGATCCTGAAACGCCAGACTTCCCTGAGGCTCAGATACGGGAAGAATGGCTCTCGTATCAAGGGGTGCCGAAAGGTCAGAAGGAGTTTCGCTTCCGAAACCCACAGGTATGCTCTGATGCACACACACATTTGTTTTGTTCTTAGTCAACTCCTCTATGGTGCAAAGAAGAATAAATATTAAAATCTTAATATCCCTTGGCAGACTCCCCTGCTAGCAACCAGTCCAAAAAGATTTTGTAGTACTTCTTTTTTTAAAAAAAAAATGTTTGAGCACCTCTCTGTGTGCCCTTGCAGCTTGAACTTGGCACAAAGATTGTGTTTTTCAAAGCAAGGGTGGCACCCTCCAGATGTTACTGGACTCTAAATCCCATCATGCCTGAAAATTGGCCATGTTGTCTGATGGAAGTTGGACAACATCAGGAGAGGTACATGCTCCTCACTGTTGGCTGAACTTGGATCACAAAGAGATGAGTGTTTTCAAGGTATTATCAGCTGCTGTGATCAAAGTCATTTAAGGTAGTTTACCACTCCTCCATGCCCGTGCCCAAAAATCCAAGAAAGGTTAACAGAACATTGATCTATATCTTGAGTCTACTCTATCGGTAGGGGAAGTTAGAACATGGGCTGTCAGAGGCAAGGCCTTCACAGTGGTGGCCCCAAGGGTGTGGAAGCTTCTTTCCATCCTTGCAGGTTTCAGGTTGCTTGAAGAAAAGGGTGGTTAGACTTGTCATCTTTTGAAAATTGTTTAAAATATGACCCTGCATAAATAAATAATAAAAAGCCCATAGTAGAATTTTTGTGGCTGACATTTGGTTCTTTGTCAGGGACATTTGACATGTCTCTGGGCGCTCTTCTCTCTGCTTTTTATGTTTTTTATTTTCATTTTCAATTTTGCATTGTAAAATTTGGAGGAGTTCAGATCTCAAAGGATGGCTGCGTTTCAGTTTGTGTATTGTTTCAGAAAGTGTGAATTTGATCCCTGATCCCTGCTCCAGACTAATCACAAACTGTAAGCAAGGTTTGCCCTATGATTTACAAATTGTGATTTATTAGTAACAGTTAAGCAACAAGCCTGGATGTCAGGCTTTCGACTTCTTTTCTGTTTTCACACAAGCACTTTTAAATAGGGCTTAACCTCATTAAAGCCAGCTAACGAACAAGAGGATTAACCATAGACCTTCTTCTTGTTGTTGCAGCTTCATCAAAGAGCAAACGAATGCATACGAGGACTTAAGTTGATCCGGAGCATCGATAGCGGCAAGGATGTCGTCAACCTCTTGCGCACAGATTTTGATCTGTCTGTGCTGAAGGTAAAACACCTTGCGCTCTTCTGGTCTGTCATGTGATGTGAGGCAACCGTATACCTTACTTAATGGCTTGCCAGAGAGCAAATAGCGCTTAATTCTAAATAACTGCTGCTATTAATTTCTGTGCCACAGCTGAAGTTTGTGTTCACAGCTGCTTAAGGTAGATCGCCATTGTTCCCATTTTACAGATGGGAGGACTGAGGCTGGTTGCTCTGTGTTCATGGCAGAGAAGATATTTGAATCTAGGTCCCCATAAGTAGCTCTCAAATCTTTTCTATGTCAGCTTTGTGTGCTGAGAAACCAGTGTGTATTGCTGGGGATTCTGGGAGCTGCTATTCTTTCTCCCTAGCAGCATCCCATTTGTAGAACGCTCTCCCCCAAGAGACCCACCTGCCATCTACATCAATGTCATTTCAGTGCTAGATTAAGAACTTTAAAATTTCCCCCCATAATCTTTTAAATCTAACCTGTTATCTCTTCCACTTCTCTCTCTCTCTCTCTCTCTCTCTCTCTCTCTCTCTCTCTCTGTGTGTGTGTGTGTGGCATGTGTTGCGGGGTGCTTTTAATGGATCTCTGAACTAGAGGCAGTTGTACCAATTCACCTTGCTTCAGAAGTCAATACAAGGCATACCACTGCAGAATAAGCAAACATAGTAGCAGCAGGCAGGAGAGAGAAGGGGATGCTGGAAGCTGAGTCAGACCATTGCTCCATCTAGCTCAGTATTGTTGACACTGACTGGCAGCATCTCTCCCGCATTTCAGGCAGGGGACGTTTCCTGCCTAGAGTTGACAAGGATTGAATCTGAGACCTGAAGAACACACCACAGATGCTCTGCCACTGAGCTGAGCTACGTCCCTTCCCTGTGGCTGGGGCAGCAGTCCTTGATGTGAAAACAGGAAGGGTGAAGCATGTTACTTTATGAGTGCCTATGTGCACCTGTAAAACTACTGTGGGCTAGTCCATTAGGGCAGAGGGGACACTGTCCCAACAACCTCTGTCTACCTCCAGCCAGTCGTCGTCCCCACCTGTCCTTTTAAATTCCACCTGGGGGTGTCCTCGGCTATCGGCTTCCTTCTCCTTAGCCTCAGTGTTGTCCTTATAGAACTCAGCAGGGAGGAGGAAGGGAAGACAATGAGAATTACTTTGCTCTGGCTCTACATTCCGTTGGCTTCCCTGCCTTCTGCCCTCCCAGTCCCAATAGGCAGCTGCCACCACTGTGTAAAACATTGCGGGGTATACATGGAGATGATTCACGCAAGCAACCTCAGGCTGCTTCTGTTAACAGCCTGGCCTCACTCGCACCCACCCTCCCATCTGTCTTCCTCCTCCTGAGGCCTCCCTGTGATTGTATCCTTTGGTCACCAGGGGGAGCCAGACCCTGTTTTGCTTTTCTCAAAAGGTACATCTTGGCCACGTGGGAGCAGAATCAGCAGAAAGAAACAAAAGAAAGGCTCTCCAAAGCATTTTGTTGCTGCCTCTCCTTTTTTTGTTTCTCTTGAAAAAGCGAAATCCTTCTGTGTCCTCTCCTAGTCCCTTATTGCTTTCCTCCTCCTGATATTTAGCAATCCTCATTCACGTTACCAGCCCTGCAGAAGCTGTTGCATCACGTACCCTGCTTCCTGCAAGACCTGCCAGCAGTGGCTTCTGCAGAAAGCCACCAAGGAACCTTATGAAGCAGGGGGGTGGAACCTTCTTTGGCTGCACAGGCCAGATCCTTATCAGGAGTGGCCGCATGGAACATATTTGGCAGGTGGGCAGGGCCAGCACCTGTCAGTCACCTGGTGCCGCAATGACATCAGGCGATATGGTGCTTTGTAGTCCCAGGGTCAGGACTTCAAAGCACTTTGCAGGCAGCAAGGTTCTACTAAAACAGAGGAGGGAGAACTTCATTTCAGCAGGGGTTTCAATGCAAGCCCCTTCATGATCAGAAAGGGGTTCATACTGAATCCTGCTAAACTGACCAACCAAACTCAACTAGGGGCGGGGCCTTTTCTGGTGGGACCCCCCCCCCCGGGAATGCCTCCTTTTGCTGGTTGGTGGAAGCCCTGGCTTTCAAAAAACCTTTTAGGTAATTGTGACACTTTTGTTAGCTCAGTTCTGCGTTTTGATTCATTAAACAGGTTGGACAGTGCTAACGTTTAAAACCTTGGGGCTTTTTAGGGATTGTTTGTACTATTTGAGTCAAAAGAGATGGTGTCGTATTTTTAAACCAATTCAGGCAACAATCGATTCAGGAGATCCTACAGTTCATTGAACATACAATCTCCCCATACCTTGTAGCCACGACTCTCTTAGCATTCCTTGGTGATAGTTTGTTGAAGAATGAAATCTCTGGGGAGTGGCTTCAACTTTCAGAGGTTTCCTTCCCTTCCCTTCCATTCCAGGACAATGTGGATTTGTCCAAAGTCTCCGTCATGGGCCACTCTTTTGGAGGAACGACGGCTGTGCTGGCTCTTGTTAAAGAAGCCCAGTTTAAGTGAGTATGCTCTAGAGCAGTGTTTTTCAACCTTTTTTGGGCAAAGGCACACTTGTTTCATGAAAAAAATCACGAGGCACACCACCATTAGAAAATGTTAAAAAAATTAACTCTGTGCCTATATTGACTATATATAAAGTAATTCTCTTGAATAGGAATCAAATAAACACAAAGAAAGTATTTTATAATTACTTTATTATGAAATAGTAAGTAAACAGAAATATGAAAAATTGTAAAATACTTTATTCAGTGCGCAACCTGGGCCTGTTTGGCTGAACACAAAGCTGATATTCTGGCTGGAATCGAAGAAAGACACACATGTAGCTCTTCGTCAACAGCTCTCAGTCTCTCTCTGTATTTAGTTTTTATAGCAATCATGCTTGAAAAGCTCATCTCACACAGATATGTAGTGGAAAATGGGAGCAATGTCAAAATAGCTTTGTTTGCCAGAAGGGGGAACTCCTTGGCAGAATCCAACCAAAAACTGGCCAAAGGTAGATCAGCAAATCTTAGCTTGAAACCACGATTTTGTCTCAGTTCAGTTAGTTCCTCCTGCTCCTGTAAAGTCATGTCCTTTCCACCAACTGATGCTGAGCTATAAGGGTCCCTAACCCAGTCAAGGCATTCAGTGGAGACTGAAGAGAAATAAAATGACAACTTCTCCGGTCCTCCTGGTGACTCGAGTTGCGACGTCTTCTTCTCTCCGCTGCTGCGCACACTGTGCTTGGGCGGGAAGGAAGTCGGAAGATGATGTTCTACTGTGATAGGTCCAGGCTGGAGTCTGGACCAATCACAGCCCGGACATCAGAAAAGTGGAGGGTGTCCCCCTGAGGAGCGCCAATCGGCGCCCCTGCTGGCCGAGGGTGGGGTCAAAAACCCCACCCCACCCATACCCAGGACACAGTCCGGCGCCCGCCTAGTGGGCGAAAATTTGAATTTTTTTAAAAAAAATCTTTCGAATTTTTCAATTTTTCCCACGGCACACCAGGCAACATCTCGCGGCACACTGAAAAACACTGCTCTAGAGGCTGCCTGGGAGACTTTGGGGCAGCCTATTTTTAAAAACTTCAGAGCGGTAGCTGGGGACATCCTTCTAGTAACACGCTGCCTGGTGGGAATCCAAGGCCTTGGTTACCTGGTTTTATCTCCCCCTGCAGGTGTGCTGTTGCCCTCGATGCCTGGATGTTCCCTTTGGAGAACTCTGTCTACCCGAAAGTGACCAAGCCAGTGCTTTTTGTCAACACTGAGTCCTTCCAGACTGCGGAGAGCGTGGCCAAAATGAAAAAGATCAGTGCTGTGAGCAAGGAAACCAAGGTTATAACCATCCTGTAAGTCTGAAGGTCTGGACTTGCTCAACTGGTGTGATCAGAGCTTTGTCATAATACAGCTCTACACAGGGAGTAAATGATTGCAGGTTTGCAATCTGAAGCGGCTGTGGCGCATAGAGGAAGCGAGGAGGGGGAATGAGACAGACAGGGGAGGGTTGAGATGATAAGCAGAAAAAGAGATGAAAACCAGTTTGCAAAAGCACAAGGAAAGGATAATAAAACATAAAAGAGGAGTGCGGAGTCCCAAAAGAACCAAGATAGGATCAGCCATCAGAAATGTCATGCCGCCTTGATTCATACTTAAACTGTTCAGTTCTTTATTATTGCAGTCACAGATCAGCCACTAAATTACAATCAAACACATGCAATTAGCAATTTACGAGCCAGCAGACTATGAAAAATTAACAGCCCAGCCCAAAATCTAAGACGTGTGTGTGTGTGTGTGTGTGTGTGTGTGTGGTTCACTGGTATGCTTAGGATGGATTACTGAGTAAGAAGATCCGGTTCTTAGTCATGCATTCTGATGCACAGAATTTTGCCATTTTGGTAGTAATTTCATTAGGGGTGTCTTGACAGGAAGAGGAGGGAGGTGTAAAAATTATCAGCTCTTCCTGAGAAATTAATTTGAATGGGTGTAATATATAAGGAGCAAATGTCTTTATAGTGTGAACAGTATAGTTATGCACGCTCAGCCATTTTGATGCCCAATTGACAAGGGCAGACACACTGGTTACACATTTACCAGTATGGCAAGTGCTAAATGGTTAAAGTAGGTCTAAGTGAAAGCTCTGCTATAATATTTGGGAATTTCTAGAGCGTAAAGGTAATCGGCTAGAATGAAGCTTTTGCTGCAGTTTCCAGCTGTTGGTACACTCAACAAACTTAAGCTGTGCAAAGTTCATTTGGGATTTGGAGGTCAAATTCGTAGGAAACTATTTTTTAACCAGCAGTTAAATAAACATGGCATTTTTCCTTTAAAGAAGGGGCCTGGTGGATCAGACCTAGGGCTGGGGGAGACGTTTGATTCAGTTTGCATTTAAAGGCGAATGTACCTAATCTGCCCTTTCCGAAGTGGCCTCATCCTTCGAAATGGGCACTTCTCTGAATTTTGTGCTGCAGTTTTCCTGCCAACTGTTGTGTGCAAAAATGCATATACTAGGGCAGTGTGTGCATACAAATACATATGTTCATGAAAAGAGCATTGTCAAAGTGCTTGTGTCCACTTCTCAGGGGTACAGTCCACCAGAGTCAGACAGATTTCACCTTCCTTGCGGGGAACCTCGTGAACAAAGTCTTCAGAACCAGAGGCACCATCGACCCCTACCAGGGCCTTGACATCACCAGCCAGGCCTCTCTTGCCTTCCTGCAGAAACACCTCCGTAAGTCAATGTGGTGGTGGTGTTTATGGACCGTGCCTTTGGAGGAAGGTGGTGGTTGTTCCAGCGAGCTGGGAGGGTTTTAAAGAATTGCCATTTCCTCTGGGTACTAATGGATCCAGTGGTGTTCTTCCTTTTAATGCTTGTAGCGGAGCCTTGCCAGCAGTTACATCATGTGCAATAATCATCTTCCTAAGCTAATCCCCATTTCTTTTCGTCCTTCCCTAGAGCTGAAAGAAGATTTTGATCGGTGGGATAGTCTTCTGGAAGGTGTTGGTGATTCTGTAGTTCCGGACAGCCCTTTGCAGAAGTCCAGCCTCTAGACCTGGGGGAACGAACTTATCTCTCTCAAGTGCTTTTGGCCAGTCTCTGTTTCCCCCAACTTATGAAGCTGGGAGGAGCACGTTCTAAAAATCAGTCACTGTCCAGACACAGCACCTGCTATCAACTTCATGGTGGGTTTCTTCTTGCTGCTGCTACAAGAGTTCCCTAAACATGCTCCTGAGCCCTCCAGGACTACAGAGAGTTGATCAGAAATGCTTCCATCTTTTGGGCTGATCTGTCTGTTCCTCTGTGATTTTTTGGAGGAATAGAAATAAGGGTTGTCACTTTGGGGACCCATCCTTGAGGAAGTTCTCTTGCACAAAGTCTTTCTGAAATGAAAGAGAGCTTGACCACAACATAGCACGTCTGGGTTGAATTCCCCCTTTGACGGCATCCTTTGCCATACAAAATTAGAAGAGTGCTTATTTTGGAGTTGTGAAACATTTCTGAACAGGACAAAAAATGTCAGCCAAATAGTGGCATCAAGTGAATGAAGGATTGGGCCTAGTGGTTTACAGCTCACCATAGACACTAGAATGAAGATTATCCCAGGTTGGAGAAGTTCAGTGCTGTGTAGAAGCATCTCTCTCTGAATGCTTTTTTATATATATACCAGTTATTTCACAGATGTTCTCAGAACTATCATCATCTTTCAGATTGATTCCTCTTGGTGCCTCTGTAGGCTTTTCTTCTTTTTAATTGTACCCAAACAGTAATGCAATCTCTTTGGGGCATAGTGAATCTCTCTATACAGTTACAATAGGCCAAATGTAGCAAAGACAGTGTAGGGAAGCAATTGCGACTTTGATTTCTACAAAATGGAGATCCTGGTCCTTAAATATGTCTTGAAATAATATCTGCTGGCCCTCACAACTCCTTTAATCATGGAGAAGTGGGCATTAGCCGTAGTTATACATCTGTGTGAGATGGAAACTCCTCTTCAGCTGGCCTGCAGGCTAAGAAAAGAACTTCTAGTGATACCATCATAGGGAAGGGATGCCTTGTACCAAGAATGCACCTGGGGGCGTGTGAGCCCCAAAAGTGTTAATGCCTCTCAGCAGGAAGGCCTTAATTAAGATAAGCCAATTAAGCTTAATTAAGATAAGGCTGCATCCCAGAACCCTTGAGTTCAATAGCAAGGCTTGAACCTGCAACACATGAAGTACTTGCCAGATTGCCTCGGAGCACTTTCCAAGCAGCACTCTTGCATATCGTGTATGCACTTTAATTTTGGACTTAATGGGGAAAGTAGCTAAGAGTGCCACCTTTGAGTCTTGCTGATGAATGTGAGTGTCAGGTATACCTAACCCTGTCTGGTACAAGGTGTGACCCACCACATATGGTGGATCTTCCCGAATGCTTGAATGACCCTCCTGTGTTTACTGTATGCCCGAGACAGCAAAAACCAAGACCTAGTTTACCTCCACCGTGTTGCCTTCTCTAGCCCCGGTGCAATTTCAGAAAGTGCACAGCCCTAATGTCCCTCTTGTGTCTGTCAAAAGTGCCTGCGTTGTTTTCGTTTGTTTGTTGAATTGGAAACTTGAGCTTCATAACATGTTTATATGAAATTCATTTTGCTTGGACTCTTTATTTTTACAAGGAGGGAGGAGACAGTGGGATCACAGGACAGAGCAAAGGACCCTTCTCAATAGCCACTCAGGTTATATGGTTAGGGGGAGAGATAGGCAAATCTGTCAAGTTCAGTTTCCATCCATTTTTTAATTTTTCCAATCTTCAGTTATCCACATTTCCCGCCAGTTTGCAATTTTTTGTCTCAAAAGCGCTCTTTAAAGTTCATCAGCATTATGCATTTCTTCTAATGTACATATTTTTCTATGCAATTTTGCCTAATATACACATTTTTGCAAAGCAGTTTTCCCCAGAATAATGCACTTTTGTATTTTATATCCACTAATATATATGCATTGTTATGCACACTTTCCCATAGTGGATGCGTTTTTGTACACATCACTTGGCTGGAGAAAGGCATTGCAAAATTTGGAAAGTACAAACCTTGGAGTGTGGCTGTGTTTCGGTTTGCATATCATTTTGGATCACCAAAACCGCAGGCTGATTCTCTGGAAGAGAGACCCATTTTGTACACAGCAGTTGCCCAGTTTCACACATGAACTGAGTCCTTCTTTCAAAGCCTTTGGTGCTTAACCCAACCTGTAGATAAATGTCGAAAGCAAATTGTGTGCTAGTGGATTGACATCCTGGATCTGAAAACAAAATTACTTTTCCACACAGCAATGGTGACAGAACCCAGAATGTGATCCAAATTATTCCTTGCTGAATAAAGGGGGCTGTTTGATCATAACAGGGAACCGATCTCCAGCAACGAGAACGGTCCACTTTTGGCTGGGTGCAGCAAAGTCTTGCTGTGACATCTGTGGCTCTGCGTGGTGGTTGCTGTGAGCCTCTGTTGGTGATGAAAAGGCGAACACAGAGAACACAGGTTGCTGCTGCCTCCCTCTTAAGAATGATCAAGCAGCTTATGCAACACAGGCTGAAGAACCAACTTTCCCACAGTCATGTCCAGCCTCTTTGCATAGCCAGTTAGCACAGGATGCTTGAAATCGAAGCCTTCCGGTGCCCTTTGGCTCTTGCAGGTTCTCAGGGGACAGTGGTGCCCCCTCCATGCTCTGCTGCTCCCCCCGCCCCACTTCCTCCACCAGCACTGCCCTAGCTAGGCAATGTAGACGCTGTCTTTCCAGCCCCACACACAGATGCCCTGGTTGCTCACTTGCTCTCCCCCCCCCCAAGCTTAGCAGGCAGCGATGGGAAAGAAGCAGGTTCCTTCATCTTTCCTCCCTAAAAACAGTTTTTCAGTGTGGAGGTTGGGGGAAGGGTTTTTGAAAAACAAAGAAGGAGGAATGTTGTGCTGACTGGTACTTTGGAGCACTTCCTTGCCACACAATGATGTCTTGTTCATTTGTTGCCACGTTGCCCCTATCCTCAGCCTGGCATGCATTTGGAGGCCCCCGGGCTGTGAGGGCCCTAGACTTGGGCCCTGGCCTTAATAACTCTCATAAAAACATCGAAGCTGGCTCACGTCACATGCACAGCATACGTGTAAAGCATGTTTAAAGGTAAAGGTACCCCTGCCTGTACGGACCAGTCTTGATAGACTCTAGGGTTGTGCGCTCATCTCACTCTAGAGGCTGGGAGCCAGCGCTGTCCGCAGACACTTCCGGGTCACGTGGCCAGCGTGACGAAGCTGCTCCGGCGAACCGGCACCAGAGCAGCACACGGAACGCCGTTTACCTTCCCGCTGGTAAGCGGTCCCTATTTATCTACTTGCACCCGGGGGTGCTTTCGAACTGCTAGGGGGGCAGGAGCTGGGACCGAACGACGGAAGCTCACCGCACATTTAAAGCACCATGACTTTCCCCAGTGAATCCTAGGAGCTGTAGTTTGGTAAGGGTGCTGGGAATTGTAGTCTGGGGAGGGAGGAAACTGCAACTGGGGAGGAAACTAAGTGCTTAAAATGTAAGGTGTAAACCACGGTGCCCATCACACATACAAAAGAGCTGGATCTGGATGATCTGTTGGCAATATAAGGCCACCCTCAGGACATGTATTTGTTGCCAGCTTAAAGCACAGAGAGGCTGCCCCCTGCTGCATTTCTAAAGCCAGTGTGGTGTAGTGGTTAGAGTGTTGGACTGGGACCTGGGAGACCAGGCATCAAATTCCCACTTGGCCATGAGGCTCCCTGGATGAGCTTGGGCCAGTCACTGCCTCTCAGACTAACATACCTTGCAGGGTTTTTGTTGGGTTAAATGAGGAGGGAGAGAACCATGTACACCACCTTGAAAAGGGATAGAAATGTAATAAAACAAATGAAATAATTTGCTTCCCCATATCTGCACCCTCCAACTCTTATTCAATGAGGCCATCATCTGCGCATGTGCTGTCATCTGCGCATGTGCAACAGCCACCTAAAATGTACACAGCATAACCGCAGCTTAACATTTTCAAACTGGATGGAAGCTGGTTTGAGGGAAGGCCATCATTCAGCAGCATTTCTCAAGAAACTGGGTACTTGGCTTCAGATCCCAGCAGTGGGAACACACTGGAGCCTGAGTAAGCAGTAATGTGCTGACAGCCTGGAAGAGTCGCTAAAGAGGAGCAATATTCATCAGACTGCTGTGGCACACCAGGAAGGATCTTGGTTTGGGTCAGTCCACGCCCACCTCCTGTTTTCCATCTCCTGTTTTCACCCTACAATGCCTCTCCCTCCTTTCTGCACGAGGTGATGGGATGCCAAGAGGCAGCTGTCATGAGCTCACCTTGCCCACAACTCTGTCACCCTCTCACTGACTGTGCTAACAGAGCAGCTTGCCTGGTGAAGGCTGCTTCCCATCAGGGCTTAGGCCAGAGCTCTGAATCACACAAGCCAGAGTGATCCTAAACAAGGAAAGTATTTTCAATAGAAAATCCTTTAAAATCTACAGGGAAGTACACATTTAAAATAACTTATGAAGCGATCCGAGTGTTGTGCGCTTACTCCATTCTTTGGGAGCAATGTGAATGGTACAGGAAAAAAAGCATGGCTGACCCTGTATAACTTCCCCCAAAGAATTATGGGAAGTGTAGTTTATCCCTTGTGGAATTGCAACTCCAGCACCCGTAACAAACTACAGTTCACAGAATTATTTGGAAGTCCTGTGCTTTAAATGTATGGTGTTAAATGTGCACAGTGGCAAGGAGTCCCATGCAGCAGCCACAGAGAGCATGGGAAGCTGCATACAGTTTTAAAGGGAATGGGGACAGAGCAGGAAGACAGCATGCAGCCTTTAGAAGGTCTCATAATGGAATCCACTGGATTTTAGATGCTGAAGTGGATTGTTAATTTACAAGTCACGATCCACCCAGATTGTATCAGGTGAGTAGGGTAGTTTTCTCCTGCAACCCTAACTGATGAGATTGTAGCCAGGGGTTTTGCAATGTGATCAGTATTGTCCCCCTGAGATCAATGGGACTGTGCAGGGGATGAATAAAGATATAGGGGTTGAAAGGGGTCAGAAAGGGCCTAGGAGTGGGAAAGAAGCTTATATGGTATAGTGTGAAAAAATTAATTAGGAATTTGAGCCTCAGAAATAAAGGGCCTGGGCATGCACAGAGTGCACCTTCTTTGTCAATGAGGTACCTCTGTGTTTAATACTATTTTTTGTTTATGTTTTATGAGTCCTAGTAATGGTGACTGATGATTAATCTATTTTGATTACCATATTTTTCCACATATAAGACAATTTTTTGCTAAAAAAAAAATTTCAAAAATGGGGGGTTGTCTTCTACACAGATGGTGAATCCACAGGGGTTTGGGCTCAGGCTCTGGAGCAGGCAGCCCAGGCTTGGGTTCAGGCTCTGACCTGATTTCTTAATTTGGGGTTCAAAAAAATAGGGGTTGTCTTATACATAGGTGTGTCTTATACACTGAAAAATACGGTATATATTTATACTTCTTGACTATTTAATCTACATTCCTAAGAATTTGAGTTGGGGGTCGATGACAAGCTTATGATGGAGTCAATGAACTGAGATGTATGGGAGACCCTGATAATCTCTGGCTCTCCTGGTCACTGCTAGACTCTGGGGTCATGATGACAGGAGAGCCTTTCAGCTGCCACCCAGAGCTAACGCTCACAGAGGCCGTTGTGAGAAAGACTCTTGTCATTTCCTTTCATAACAGCCTAAGAAGGCGACTGGTGTGGAAATCACAGCCCACTCCCACCCTGAATCAGCATTGCTAGGGATTTGTTCTGACAGCGACACAGAGCACAGAGAATTAGCTTGTCTCACCCGATTCGTCCTGGCAGCGCTAGAGAAAGGCGCATATCAGGTTGTGCAATGTGGTTATGTAACAGGGCTGGGGCGACGCAGGGAGCATCTTGGGCAGCAAAGAGAGACAGTGGAGCTACCTCTGGAGGTGCCTGCGCATAGCATAGGAAAACCTCACCTCTGCTCTCAATGCTGCTTGGCTTTTGATCGCACACATGCTGCCGTCCTCAAACAGGTTTTCATCTTTCAAGTGGCATCCTGCAGGTGGCAATGCACAGGGGGCAGAAAGCTTTCATTGGGAGCAGCTGCCCCCCGCCACCCACTGCAGCCCCAGACATACATTTGTTTCTGATCAAGATGAGGCCTGACAAAAGCGAGAGGAACAGCCTTCCCCAGGGAGCGGTGGACAGCTGTAAGGGGCAGTGCCGTCCTGCCTCAGACATATGCCTGCCCTCCAAAGCTAGATTTCCTCCTGCATTTCATGACTGCAATGTAGCCCAATAACTTAAATGGGGGGGGGGGAGATGTGAGTCCATTTCTACACTAAAGCCAGGGACCTAGGGTCCAATGCTGTACTTCATGGATTTTAGGTGTTCCCTATAGGAAGCTATTAGGCTGCATTTCCATATAAGGCATAATCTGAGTAGGATGTTTAATTATGGAAGAACCTCTGGCTTCAAAGCCAAAGGATGAATTAAGAGTTCTCCGAGTCTCTTCCACTGATACAGTTGTATAATCTTTCGGCTCCATTAACTCCACCACCTGTCATTGAAAACTGGGACTCAAGCATCTTCCTCCAGCCGCCCCCACTCTTTTTAATCTCCATTTTACTGTATCCTAGACAAAAACAGTAAGCTTTCATGCAAACACAGGCTGAGCATAGGGAAGGAAAATCTGGTGTTAAAAACAGTGACATGAAGAAGAGCTATTTTCGGTCTTAGGCAGTTTTGATCACATAGCTTTTCTTCAGGGCCTCTGAGATTTATTCGCTATAGGAAAAGCGGATGTAGTTAGCATATTAGTCATGCAAATGTGCCCTGCTGGAAATGATGTACATTTGTGGTATCATAGCAGATCATGTCCTCTTTGGGCACTCTTAAACAAAACAAAAAAATGTTTGTGTGTGTATGTGTGCGTACGGCCACATCAAAGTATT